CGAATATAATCTAAAGTGAACTTTCAGTAGCTGCTTAGAATCAAAAACTTATAAAAGCGCACGCAACATATACAAATAATAATGCAACAGGAAATTAGCAGCGTAAATGCGTCGTGGCTATTTTATCAAACATACCTGCTTGTTTTTAGCACATTTCTGGAGAAAATGTCCTCAGGACTGCTTGATAATAAACTTCAGGCTGTCTGCGTCACAATCTGACGCCAATGAACCAAAGAGCAGAAGTGTTGAGCTGTAACTTGTAGACCACGTCTGAAAAACTGCATTGAAAATAAGGTTTACACACGTACAAACAGTAGAAATCAGAGAGAAACACCAAACTGAAGACACCATTAGACGATAATCTCAGTCCTCAGAGATGCACTGAAACTGCGGCTGTGTTCAGAATGAAATACTACTGCGCCGTACACTACACACTGTTTTTTAAAAGACAAATAATGTGACACTGTATGCAGAATGGAACAATATTTCAAACAGCAGACAAATGCTACATTGCAGTCACCAAAAATTCCAATGTAATTTTATTTTTTTTGGTTAAAAATCTTAACATTTGTCACAAAACTGACACTACACTAGGAAAAGTCTGTAAAATAGGGCAGAGTGTTGTGTTAATACGACTTAACAGATAATGTCCTGACAGAAAATCACTAGTACCTTTTCCCACTTTTTTTTCTTACAGTGTAGAAATGTTAAAAATCATCATTGATATTACTTCCGGTTCATTTGTCACACTGTAAAGGGAAGGTCAAGTCCAGTGCATTGCATTGTGGGATACAGTATTCAATCCAGTGAGTGCTGTATATCTATACTGCACAACTGTAGTAGCTCATCTGAGTATTTTTGTATACAAAAAAATAAAAAATACTGCAGGCATAATTGCACTAGTGGTGCCACAGTAAGACACAAAAGCTAAAAGATTCATCTTTGTACCTTTATTTACCCCTACACGGTAAATGTTAGTACCTTAAATGGCTTAAATGTACATATTAGTACCTTTTTGAAAGGGTACCACCCCAAGAGACAGTCCTGTACCTTTTATTTCTGAGAGTGTACTGTAGTATGCATCTTGTATGATATTGTGAACACAGCCCAGGTCATTTCTAGTGTGTACTTCCTCCAGCCTATGAGAATGAAGGGAGCGCTTGTGTCCTGATCGCGAGGAGCTGTGTGTTTTCTGTCTCGTGTTCGGTGTGTGTGAGTGTGTGTGTTTTTGGGTTCAGTCAGTGAAAGTCGGGCAGATTTTGAGTAAAGCTATGCAGCTGTCTCCTTTCTCGCAGAGTTTTGGTTCGGAGAAACCCAAAGAGTGATTTTTTTTATACGTACAAAGACACAAACAGGTTTGGAATAATAAAAAAAAAGGAATCAATATATTTGTAAATGTATAACTTTTCAAAAAAAAAAAAAAAAAAGGAATCACTATATTTGTAAATGTATAACTTTTGAATTGTAAAATCGACTTTTTTTAGAACAATCTCCATGTAAGCGCTTGTCTGTCGTGTAGTCTGGTTTGTAAGTGTTTCTGGAGGATTCGCTGGAATCGCTGTCTGATCAGAACTGAATGTAAACTATCTGAAAACTCTCCATCCAGACCCAATACATCACACTGCTCCATTAGTAATTTTATATCGATCAGATCAATGTGAAATTAGATCTGGTCCGCAGGAGAGGTACTACAGGTCAACAGAGCTAAAGTTTCATTTGAACAAAGTTACATGCAGTGTTGGGCAAGTTTCTCTAAAACAGTAATCCATTAGTATTTACAAATTATTGCTATTTAAAAATCATTACTATTTACAAATGACATCTTCAATAGTGTAACTACAGTAGTCAACATTTGAAGTGGATCAGAGAAGTTCATCAAAGTTGTCCTAAGACAAGAACGGGTATTGTTTTGGTTTTAGGACAACTTTGATGAAAGGTTTTGATCCACTTCAAATGTTGACTACTGTAGGTTACTGTACTAATTACTCTCTCATTAATACTTTCTAAATCCCATATCAACCTCGACCAGTTAAACAATACAAGGACAGACATGAAAATTATTCTTGAACTGACCAAATTATTTAAAGGGAGGTTACATTAAAAACATTCATTTTAACATTAGAAGTTAAAGTTGGATGTTAAATCCACTAGTTTTAGACATCAGAAGTAACTGCAATTAAAAGGGATTACAGAAAGTAACCCCTTCACATTTTTTCTTGGGAAAAGTAATTAAATTACAGTAACTATTTACTTAGTAATGCATTACACTAAACACTGCTCATATGAATATTTATGCTCATATGAACTTTTTAATATGCAAATTTAATACAGAAATTTTAACAAATTTGTGTATTATAATAAAGTGATTAAAATTACACAGAAAACAACTCCAGTGGTTGGCAAATCAGAATATTTAAAGGGGTCATATAATGCTACATGCACTTTTACAAGTTGTTTGAACTGAAATGTGTGTTGGCAGTGTGTGTACACAACCACCCTAAAATGATAAAAATCACGCCCCTTACTGCTGATTGGCTACAAGTTTGTTTTGCTACTCGGCCCGAATCAGTTTTCTAAAGCGTTTTTGAAAAATCGCTTACCCCACCTTTAACAAAATGAATGCATAAAAATGTGTATTTGGGCACTTTCAAAAGATAAAATTCCTCTAAAATGCTTATTGAAAAGTGGCTAAAAAAATCAGCTGACATTTAAATATCACTGAAGCAAAATCTCACTTACCTTTAATTTACTCCAATTACATTTAATGCCACTTTTGGAAATTGCATTTGAAAGATCCAAACTGATGCAAAAAAAGGATCAGATAATTTATAATTATTTTGGATGTTTTCTTTAAGGCCTGGAGTGCTTCTCCTGTCTGAAACACACTGTTATATTAGCAGTGGTTTAAATATTCCAGACAGCAGCAGCGGCTCGAATCGCTCCTCGTTTAGTGTTACTCGTCTCTCTTCCGTTGTTCTGTATGTAAAAACATTTCAATGTCTTTTCTTTAGATTTTCTTGTGTTTCACACACTGTTCTGTAAACGTCTCGTTATGTTGACTTTGTACTGCTGTCCTTTTGCCATTTAAACACTGTTTTTGCAAGTCTCTCCAGTCTGTGTCTTGAATGTGATTTTCCCCACAGTCATCTCCCATTTTTACAAAAACTCCCTCAAACGAGCAGCACTAGTTCTTTTATCACTAGTTCTTCATGCATGTGAGTGGATGTGCACGTCTTTCTATGTATATTTCATTCATAAGACAAAAACAAGTTGTTTGAATATGATCACTGGATGTTCGATAAATTATTTTAATATAAATATTGAGTATTAAGCAATTCTATCCTGATCCTGTTGGGTCTGATTGTGATTCAAACAGCTTATTTTACATAGAATAAAAGAGGCAGAGTTCAATAGCTATCTGAGTAAATAATATTGTATAAAACAAATATGAATGGTTCTCACCAGCCTCATTAGTGCCAAGTTTCCTTCCTTAAATGCACTTTCTAAAAATCAACATTCATATATCTATTCAAACACTTTATCTTTGCAGTAAATCTCAAAAATGGCTGCTGAAATACAACTTCATATCAACATGAACCTCGCTACGTTTATAGTAAATATGATACACTTAAGTCTGAATTATTCATGCGGATTGCTTGATCTGTTACTTCTTTGAACAAAACCAGAAAAAGTGTCAAATGGACTTCAAGCGAATTATCACACAGCTAATATATCGCATTTTGTAAAATTCTTCACTTCCAGACAAAGACTGCAGACAAAAGTGTATGTATCTGTACATTTGTAAGTAATGCCGTGGTAAACATGTAAACAAGGCAGATTTTGTACTTTCCATAAGGTGTTTGCCATTTATACTCATAGTGAGTTTGATCCGGGGTTTTTATAATTATTAAATTCTTATTTTTTCAACAGATTCCTTTAAAATACCAAGTTATATACAAATGCAGACAAACATATGTCCATGTTTAAAAAGCTTCCAATGTGTCACGTGGAACGCACTGTGATGTATCAGAATAAAAAAAATACAAATGCAAAATCTTCTCAATTATCAGATATTCCAGTAATAAAACTGAAGAATCGTTGCAGTCCTGCAATAAACATTAAGAAAGAGCAAAGCTACTGTCAAAGGAGCTCTGCTGTCCACATCATGAAGACCCGAAGCCTGAACTAATGCAGTGAATCTCATAAAAACATGTAAATCTAAAAGGCAAATAGAAATGATAATTTGCATGAAAAAATGAAGCCTATTTTAGGACCATTACGTAGTTTTTTTTTTAATTGACTTCATTTTCATGATGATTCATGCTAATGCTCTTTTTAATGCACATTACTGAAAAGCATCCAGATGTTTAAATTCTCATTATATTCTTATTACTATAATAGTCATTTTTAATGTACTACAGCAAAAAAATGACTGTTACAATGATTTCTTTAAATAAGCATCAATTGAATACAGCACAACAAATACTATGATAATATATGATTACTTTACAATGTATAAACATCAAATTTCATCAAGAATTTGGCATGAAATGTGCTTGATCCTAAACAAAGTCTTCATTTTCTTTATGCAAAATATAAATGATTTTTAAATGTGACCTGGAGATGTTTTTTGTGAGATTCACTCAATGAAAGGAAGGAACGGGTTTGAGGAATAACAAAAGATCCAATCAGAGAATGAAAACACATGATGGATCACTAATGTCTAAAATTACCTAAAAAAAAGTTGTTGGCATCTGTCTCCGACTGAGTCCATGGTGAGTAAATGTCTGTATTTGTATGATTTCATTAAAAAAAAAAAAAACGGGGGAAAAGGCCCAAATTGTTCTTGCAGAAAAAAAAACACTGGCATTCCACAAAAAAGAGAAGCAAAATAAAGAAGAAAATAAAAATCTCTCCTGAGATGGTGGATAATAGAGATATATAATCACTGAAGAGTAATTCTGAAAGCATACAGAAACCTGCACGGTTTGGCGATCACGTCAGCTTGCTGGTCCTTCAATAAAGGAGGAGGATCTTTTATTAAATATCACGAATTCCACATAAAACTCCTCGACTCTCATAAAATCTGTACATTTTCTTTTAAAAAGTCTTTGTGGTTTGTCTCGGTCCAGAAAGGACTGCATTTGTCCGCACTGTGTTTTTGTGAAATCTTAACTGAGATGATCACAGTCCGTCTTCGTGTGCAGACCGCCGTGCAGAGGAACGTCTGTTCGTCCACTAGCAGCATTTTTTCTTTCGTTTGCTATTCTTGCTGAGTTTAATCACATCGTTCTGCTGCTGTTGCTGCTGTTTGGCCACAGACTCTTTCTTTGCCCGGAGCACCAGCTCTGTGATGCAGTTAAACATCTACACAAAGACCAGAAACACACACGGATATGTTATTGCACCCTCCAAAACTGATTCTAATAAAGATTAACACACTTTATACAACATATATGGCTCTAAAATCTGATTAGATGAGCCGCGTTTGAAGTCACTGTAAAATAGATGTCACACAGAGACATATATCAGGTAATTAAAATTTAGTTTTGACTACTTTCAAATAGAGATGTGCACAAGTGATTGATTATTCAAGTGTTCATTCTGTGAAATATGAAACTAAATACTCTAGGGCGGAGCAAAAGTAGCCTACATGTTAGAGAGTTTTCCAGACCTGACACATAAGTGAGTTTTAGGTGTTTCACAGCACAATCTGAATGGTCCCAATACAGAGCCCTGAGGAACTCACCTCCTCCACGTTGATGTTCTCTTTTGCACTCGTCTCAAACAGACTGATGCCCATCTGCTCAGCAAACTTCTGTGCGTCATTCGTCTCCACAACCTTAGAGCTTGGATCATCATTTTTATTGCCCACTGAAGGGAGAAAATGTAGACAGATATTAATATAGAATTCACCATTCGATTGACTTTGTCAAGTCTGCTAATTCATGTACTAAAGGGTTCATATCATGGAAGTAACATCACAACCATGGGCTCATTAACATATGACTACTCACAATGTGAATTAACACCATATTTCATATGCAAAGATATTAGCCAATCAAAACAGTGGTCATTTACAAATAGAACTCGACTTGAAAATAAATAAAAAACAAAATAAAATGACATACATAAAATAATAAAAAATTTAATAAAATGTAACATGCAACATTTACTGGAGAACTCACCTAATATTCGACAGACGTCATCGCAGTTCTGGTTTATTTCATGCAGCCATCGTTTGACATTGACAAAGGACTCGGCACTGGTGACATCATACACTACTATGACCCCATGGGTTCCTCTGTAATACCTGAGAATGAAAATAAGGAGTTTTAAAGAGTTCAGCTTTAAAAAGCACAGGCCGTCTTCTGTCTCCAAACACAGACACAAAGACATGCACGCACAAAGAGCTCTTTGAGAGGCCTGGAGTGACCAAACCCTTGTGTGTCATTGACCGAGCATGTCACAGTTCTATCACTGCCCTTAATAACAGATCAAAACCTCACATAAACATGCATGACCGTACATACACACTAATGAGACACTAATGAAGCGGCATACATTCCCTTGTTAGCTACTTAATGACCAACCGGCTTCAGGCCATTGCACACTTTAACTACGTCGCCACATTAACACAAGACCAAAACTTACAAAAAAAGTGTCTTTGCATTTTGACAGACATTAAAGTTGTTTGAAGTCTTAAATATTTTAATGTAAGGCATAATTCTGAGGATTTTTGCAGGTTTTATGAAGTAAATTTAAGACTTTTTAAGACCAAGAAAATGTAAGAAATAAATTGAATGGAACATTCAATATGTCAATATGGTCTCTAAATGTCTTGTATTATCAACGCTTAAAAGAAAAAAGAAAAAAACTTTCCAATAAATCTATTACTTTTCACTTACTTTACTACACAAAAAAGGGCTTGAATAGCTCTCCTCCCAACCACTAGAATATGGAAATAGCTTTCACTGCATCTTCTGATCACACTGCAAAAATGTGTAGGCCTATTTGTGCCTTGTTCTCCAGTGCAAATTCTTAAAAAGATTCTTAAATCAAGATGCATTTCCTTGAGAAGCAAAATAACAAATTAAGTCTTGTTTATGAGAAATCTATCTATCAAAATTAAGTACTTAAAACAAAGTTGTCAATGGGCTCAGAAATATCAACTTAATTCAAATGGAAAACAAGTTTTTTATATTCCACTGGCAGATATTTGTTCTTGTTTTGGGCATAAACTCATTCAACTTTGTTCAGTTTCTCAGAAAACAAGACCTCATTTCTTCATTTTACATCTCAAGTAAATGTATCTCGATTTAAAGATGTTTAGATATTGGAAAACAAAACAACAATAGTAAGGAAGTCATAAGACCTGCAGTACTCTGATTTCTCAGGTAAAGCTGCAATTGAAACTTAAGCTAGCTATTAATTAAATGTACTTTAAGAAGCAAAACCTGTATGATAGCTTCTACACAAACCAAGTTTATTACGTAATGGTGTGTGCTTCAGGAAATGTAAGATACATCCAAACATCACAACAAATAAATCCTCTTGCCACAGGAACTGTGAACTTAAAGCCCAAGGACAGCTTCAGTCCCAGAGTGCCGATGGTAGACACTGATCCTCAGTCAAACAGCGGCTATAAAACGTTACAGCACTAATTAGGAACTTCAAACAGATTCCCTGAAGCGTTCTGTTAGCAACATTAACACAGCCACGCTGGCACACACAACACCCACAAACAAAGATGTCTTGGAGCATTATTTTCAATGTCTTAGAATGTTATTACTGAAACTAAGAATGAAAGCACCATTTCTATTCAAATAGAAATACCATAAAGAATTTATTCAGACCAAGGAAGATTTATTCTTCCTGTACTAAACTTTCTTTGAGCACATTTCTGACCCTTTGTATTATGATTTATTCTGAAATATGAAAAGCACATGCATGTGCACATCATAGAACATACATAGGATACGTTCAGCTCAGCAGTAGTTTGATAATGTCATGCGTTTGACTCACGTAGATGTGATGGTTCGGAATCGCTCTTGTCCGGCTGTGTCCCATATCTGCAGCTTCACCTTCTCTCCATTAATCTCCACCGTCCGGATCTTGAAGTCGACTCCTATAGTGGTGATGTAACTACCTACAACACAAAGCAACACCAAAGAGCATGCATTGAATATGCCATCATAATAGATTAGCTTGGGCTTTTTCTAGTCCTTTAACTCTGGTCTGTGAGTGAGCGTATATGCATTCAGGGGGCGTGGCTTTGGACGGCGATTGCAGGGAGGGTGGGACATTCGCTTTCAGTGCTATCAGGCTAAAGTTAGCATTTTCCAAGATCTCCTATTGCGCCTTTAAGTCCTGAAGAATATTTTAGGAACACCACACTGTTGGCCTACATAGAGCTTATGCATCACACGACCCATTATTAGACATGATAATATGACAATGATTTCAGTTCGAGCAAAAATACTGTAAAATTTGTATTGATGTGTAATATTATTACAATTTGAAATAACTTTTCTATTTGAAAATATTTGAAAATGTAATTTATTCCTGTGATGCAAAGCATCATTACTCCAATTTTCAGTGTCACATGATCCATCAGAAGCCATTCTAATATGCTGATTTGCTGCTCAAGAAACATTTCTGATGATTATCAATGTTGAAAACAGTTGTGCTGCTTCATATTTTTGTGGAAACTGAGATACATTTTATTTTTCAGGATTCTTTGATGAATAGAAAGCTCAAAAGAACAGCATTTAAAATAGAAATCTATGGTATAAATGTCTTTACTCTCACTTTTAATCAATTTAATGCATCCTTTGCTGAAAAGCATTAACTTCTTTACTGACCCCATAATTTTGAATGGTAGTGTATCATTCATAAACTTATTTGATTTCTCTTTACAAATTAAAATAAGAGTTACTTGAATGTATTAATTTCCATAAATTAATTTCTACATTGTAGAAAATAAAAGCTGCGCAAGAACTTGGATGATTTCTCTTTTTTTAATTTAATGAACATAAGGTAGAGGACAAACTAAAATACTCTCAACACAAACAGCAGCTGTAACAGGCCATCTTCACGCTCTTGGCTTCAGAAAATCTCAGGACTGTCTGCACCCTTCAAGCATGATAATAAATCAGACAGATGACGCCGGACATGTTCATGCATCTTACCTGAAAAAGTGTTGTCTGCAAAGCGCAGGAGAAGACTGCTCTTTCCAACACCTGGAACGACAGACAGACAACAAACAAAGAATGAGGAAAAACCACGCAACATATGATGCAGCAGATTTCAGCTGGCTCCAGCAAACCAGACAAAAGCTCTGGACTAACGCCTGCTCACCGTTAACATTCACCATGTGGTTTCTCACACAGCTTTCAGATTTACTGCTTAGAGACAAAACCTAAACTCTGAGAAACATGATGTCCTCACTGAGACGCTTTCCTTAAAGGAGTCATATGACACTGCTGTGTATTTGGTGTAACGCAATGTGTTTATGTGGTTTAAGGTTCAAAAAACACATTATTTTCCATATACTGTACATTATTGTTTCTCCTCTATGCCCCGCCTTTCTGAAACGCGTCGATTTTTACAAAGCTCATCGGTCTGAAAAGCGAGGTGTGCTGTGATTGGCCAGCTATCCAGTGCATTGTGATTGGCCAAATACCTCAAGCGTGTGACGGAAATTTTACGCCCCTCACCATACTGTGATGCCGTGTCCGGCCGGAGCGACGAGACAAAAACATTAAAACCCATTACAAACGAGGCATTTGTTGCATCCAGTGGGGACATAATTACTGATTATAATGCCTTCTACTGTCTTTTTACACGTTGCGTTGCATATCGCGCCACGTAAACATAAAACCATGCTGTGATCGGAGAAACGACAAACAACAAGCGCTACTCTACACTGCTCAAAACTAGCGTTTGAATTGTCTGTGGCAAATCCTTTAAATATGAAAACGTACTTACAGGCTGTGAGTCAGCATTATTTGTCAGAACACCAAAGTTGGAACTGCCCCACTTTATAGAAACATTATGTCCTCTTTTGGAAGGCCAAACAAAGTAGTTTCACTTTCACAACAAAA